GCGTCCAATTCATCAACTGTCAGATAGCCTACACTAAGGGACCTGTCTTCGTGACGAGTGTACTTGATGGTTAAATAGGTCACATATCTTCTGAGCCATGCTACTGCTTTAATCAGCTTTATCCAATTTGAATGATATAACAGAATTGGACTTAAGTTATGTTTTAGAACACCTGCGTTGATCGTGTGACATTTTTTAAATTCAACATTTTCCGGGAGATTTTCGCAGATGAACGTCGGTGTTCCTACAAACGCCCTCTGCCTTAGGATGGAAGGACCCTCAATCCAGTTTTTTAAATCTACTTCTTTCCGTATACCTCGTGATGTCCAGTCAGCAGGATTTTCATTGGATTCGACGTGACCCCACTGGCCCACAGATGTTAAATGATGAATAACGGCTAGACGATTAGCCACAAAGGTGGAGTACCTGCTCTCAGTATTTTTTACATAGTACAGAACTATCATAGAATCCGTCCAGAAGTGAGTCTTGTCAAACATATGAGGAAGGTTTCTATTTGAAACTTCACCCATTCTAGCACTCAATACTGCTGCTGCTAGTTCCAGTCTAGGCACAGTTACCTGCTTTATAGGTGCCACTCTAGATTTACTATAGAGTAAAACGCTGTATGGTGCACCGTGCTTAGGGATGTTCCACGAGTAGGCTACCGCGCCGTAACCACATTCGGACGCATCACAAAACAAATGCAGCTCAACCGCCGTAACGTTCTCCCTGTTTTCATTTATGATGCTTCGAGGGACGTTGATCGTTCCGAGCCCTCGCACAAACGTGACTTACAAAGATTCTGCAGAATTTGCTTAGCAGGAAGGTATATCGAAGCTATTAGGACCAGTGGATCGAAGAGAGATGAAACGGTGGATAGTTTTCCTCTCCTAGTCAGAGGTTTTTCCTCTGGATCAAAACGAAACTTAAAAACATCGAGTGTGGTGTCCCACTCAATCCCTAGGGCTCGATGTGTCGGCCCTTTATTCAGAGGCATATCAACTATCGCTTCCATACTATCGGATTGAGGGAAAACTTTCCTTACCATTTCGGAGTTAGTTACCCATTTTTTCAACTTGAAAACTCCTCGAGCCATCAATTCATTCAGTTGTACCACAAACCTTTTCGCATCTTCACTATTGGGGAAGGATACTAGGCAATCATGCACATAAAAGTTATTCAGTACCGATTCTCCTACGCTGCTATCATAGTCACCAGAGAATTGTTGAGCCGTCTTCATCAATGCGAAGTTTGCACAGAAGGGTGAGGATATAGCCCCGAAGGGGTGTGATGTCATCAGATACTCTATCGGTTCCTTCTCATTATCACCCTCCGGCCACCAAAGGAAACGCAGCGCTCCACAATCGGGCTTCGAAACCTGTACTTGCATGAACATTTCTTCCACATCCGCAGAAACGGCTACCGGTTCCCTGCGGAAACGTAACAGAATACCTACTAAACATGCTGTAGTATCTGGACCTTGGTAGAGAAGGTCATTCAAAGATTTACCAGCCACCTTAGCAGCACAATCCAATACCACTCTCACTTTGCTTGGTTTCTTGGAGTTAATCACAGCATTATGAGGGAAGTTCCATTTTGGATGATAACCCGGATCGAGCTGCATACCTGGAACCACAACCGCATACCCTTTGTCAATCGTCTGCTGCATGGCATGGGTGTAGCTCTCCCTAAAATCCTTATTGAATGTGAGTCTGCGTCTTAGACTTTCTAATCTTCGTCTAGCTAGAGCATAACTACCGGATACTACATTACTTTCCACCTTCCAAGGTAAAGGGACAACCCAATGACCTTTGTCAAAATAAGTGTTGCCCTCTATTATGCTAACTGCCTTCAAGTCGTTCAAAGATAATACTTTATCGGAGGAATGGACCTCAGCAAATTCATAGTTATATATTTTCTTCAGCTGTTCTACAGAGTCGTTGGTTTGAGAAATATAGTTTACTATCCTTTTACTGTTTTTGTTATAACCTGCCGGTCCAAACAGAACCCATCATAGCAGTGTCTTAATAGCATAAGGGCTTTTTCTTCCACCCAACCTTTGATCCAAGACCCAATGCGCTTCAGGCACATCACATCCAATAAGCAAAATAACTTCTCCACCCACTGATTCTGTCCAAGGTATGTCCATAAGATGGGGCCATTTCTTAGCACTGTCCTTCACAGGTACTCTTGGTCTATGCACAGGCAAGTCATCTACTATAACAGCCTGTTCTATACATATACACTCGTTTCCGCTTAATGAGTAGGCTTCAAATGCTTTGGTTTACGATCTGACCAATTTATTTCCGTTTACTGATTTGATGGTAATCGATGCACTCTCTAACGATAAACCTAAGAGTCGTACCGCGCTTGACTTTATTAGGGATGTATCTGAACCGTTGTCTAGAAAGGCATAACCACAAACTTCCTTATCTTTAGCTCTAATACGTACAGGGATTAGACCAAGAAACACATCCTCTTTTAGTGACCCTGTGTACCCACAATGACTTTCTTTTAAAGGCTCACTCAAGCCACCCTGAACTTGAAAGGGTTTATGCAACAATGGGTGATGCCGATCCTGGCAACCCTCGATAGTACACGCGACACGATCATTACAATCTACTGATCTATGGCCCCTTCTAAGACAACAAAAACACAAACCCTTTTCTCTTGCTTTCGCCCACTTATCGTTGACTGCTAATGTGGAAAACTGGGAACATTTATCAATCCTATGATTTTCTCTGCATATAACACAAGGCGACTTGCCAACAATTTTACCGAACGACAATCCTTGTGTGGAGCAGGCCACCCTGCTTACCACCCGTTTACTAGCTGTTGAAATCTGCCCGAATCTGCTGAGTAAAACTTCTGCTCCAGATGATACAAATTCTGTTAACTCTGCAAAAGTAGTCTCTCTACCATTTTCTGTCATCTTTCTGACGGTTTCAGCCCATTTCTACAATTACTATCGAGTTGAGATCCGCTGAATAATCCATTTGTTCTAAGGCTATAGAGCAATTTTCCAAAAACACAAACCCTTTTCTCTTGCTTTCGCCCACTTATCGTTGACTGCTAATGTGGAAAACTGGGAACATTTATCAATCCTATGATTTTCTCCGCATATAACACAAGGCGACTTGCCAGCAATTTTACCGAACGACAATCCTTGTGTGGAGCAGGCCACCCTGCTTACCACCCGTTTACTAGCTGTTGCAATCTGCCCGAATCTGCTGAGTAAAACTTCTGCTCCAGATGATACAAATTCTGTTAACTCTGCAAAAGTAGTCTCTCTACCATTTTCTGTCATCTTTCCGACGGTTTCAGCCCATTTCATCTGTAAAGCCGTGGGCAATTTCTTTACTATACTTTCTATAGTTACTACCGAGTTGAGATCCGCTGAATAATCCATTTGTTCTAAGGCTATAGAGCAATTTTCCATCTTTATCGCTAACCTAGATAGACTTTCTCCGTCGTTGTGTTCTATATTGGGACCTCCAGTCAAGTCATTTAGCAAAGCCCGGCTTACTTCATGTGCTCTTCCAAACAACCGTTTCAGTATATTGCATGCTCTGTGATAGCCCGATGATGGCGGAAGCATTAAGCATTCTTCTATGGCCTCTCGAGCTTTTCCTTTGCAATAATCCAACAAGTATAAAAGCCGTTGACCATCGTCTTCGACCTTCGATACCACATATAAATCAAATTGTCTGACAAATTTCCAATATTTGGCTGGTGACCATCAAAAGGACTTAGTTCAACCTTTGGGAGCTCAAGACCCACACTTAGAGATGTCAAGGTCACTTCCCTCTTCTTCGCTACAGGATGGTCTAACCGTTTTGACCTCTCTGTGGACTTGATTCTAATGTCATGAGGACGGCTTGAGAAACTGTGGACATACTCCTGTCCTCTGTCATCACAGTTGAAGGCAGAAGATGCTTCACTACACACATTCTCTTTTAGTCTTACCGTCCCTAACTCGCTCTGAAGGCATAACAGCTGCTTTCTCTGCCTATCTTTCAAATCTCTAATCACTACTATTTGTCTTACCCTCAACTGCTTTTGTTTTAACTCTGCTAGGGGGATGATAGAGCTAATCTTGCTATGCCTACTAACTAAACTAGTATTAGAGCCATGACATGAAAATGTATCAAAAGGGACTTGCCGTATATCAGGAGGCGCCTTTGTCCGCATTTCTTCATGACCCAACACCATGTTTCAGCTGATCTTGTTGCGCTTGCCAGGCATTGAAGTGTTTGTTACCAGTAATGACTGTTCGTTTGAGAACTGTAACGACCGAACTACCAGTATTCGGGCTGAACGTAGGACTGACGAATCAAATTGTATTCGAATAGGTCAGACTACGATCTTCCGTATAGCACGCCAAGCGTTTTTGAGACACTCGTATTAAATTATATCAAAACACAAATTCTGTGCTCAATTTATACGGTTCTAATTTAAGAAATGGAACAAATTATATCAAAAATACAAAATACCTCAAACGGTACAGCCTGTGCTATACAGTCAGAAGTTTCTCTAACGCAAAGTAGTGCACTAAAAAATAAAAGAAACAGTCAACACCAAAGAATTTGATACCTGAGAATCAACAAATATATTCCCAACAAACGGGATCAAAAATATCTGTCTGCAGGGATACCAGAAATCCTCTCAAGCAGACAGTCAAAGGGTTAACAGTCAAACTTAATCACGCCGTGACCTTGAGCTTAGTCAAACACGACCTCACTGTCAATAGTCCGACAACATGCAATAAAATTATGTAACAAAGGGATAAGTTTTCAATCAAAATTACATAATAAAAGCTGAAACGAGATATGAACAAAGGTTGAAATATATAACAGGAAGAAGAAACAAATGAATGAAAACACTGTCTAACAAAAAACTATGTAGGGATTTTCATCGTTCTTTTTCCGTTATAATGATAATAATAAGAGTATAAAGAGAAATAATGACAAACACATGAAGTTTAACATAATCTCACTTACCTAGTATTAGTGTCATAAAAGCGTAAACTTTGCATAACACTAGTATTACACCAATCAGCGAAAACAATTAATGATAATCCCTTTTCCATAACATCTATAAATAATTTTTCCGCTTCATATGGAAAGAATTCTTCTTCTGGATCAATTATAAGGAATGTACCTAAAACCAGAATGAGTTGATCAATTCTATTATGTATCTGAAGGAACAACAGACATTGCTTTATATGATGGAAATATTCAAAGAAATAATCTTTTCAAGAAATACATGGAATTAAGTGAAAAAGATCTCATTTATTAAGAATCAGATTTGAAAACCTTGAGTGTCGGATGTTAACATAAATCAAATGTTAGAAAGATTTACACTGAGGACAATAGTAGGTGATTTAAATGTGATATGTGACAAAGTTTATTCGAGAGAAGAAAACACTCATGACATAAAAGATTAACAAAAGATTTCAGTTAGCAAACTACCTATGAATACAACTATTTGGACAATGTGGATCAATGTGGAATAGGTACAATGTTTGCTATAATAGGTAATGTTAGGTTTGTGTTTAATGATAGATTTCGAATCTGTGGAAATGTTGAATAGCGAAAATCAGTGACAGTAAGTTGGAAATCGTATGCCTTAGTATTATAATAGCAAAACAGTAGTTTAACACTTTCAAAGATGATTTCCACCACAAAGTTGAGATTCTTTCTCAATTCCGTCGGGCTACTTATGTAATAAAATATGTAAATTTCATTAAATTATAGGTTAAATGTACTGGTTCATTGAATCTTCTCACTGTTCATGTTAACAACTGCAAAATAATTAGTAAATTTCAGGATTAGCAAATTCTGTGAAGATTAATTCGATATTCTCGCTTGGTTATTCTGGGACTCTTTCGTCATCTTAAACACTGGTAGAAGGATTCAAATGACCAATATTGAGGAATGGGAATTAGGCTCATTGCACAAGTCAATGGCTGTCTGAACACAGTAGCTAAATTAGCAGACAACGCAGTGGCGTTTGAATCGAATCGTACTGGGTTTGAATTCCAAAGTAAATATCTATACCGGGATGTAGGCACACCCAGATGACGGGTCCAATATAATACCAATCCCGCGTCTTACATCCCACTACTAGGCACCGTCCATCTCTGCGAATAAATTTTTAGAACATATGATGATGACGATGCTGATAGACAGATTGGACGCATTCTTATTATTCAACTTGAAATAACTACGATAATAATTCTTTGAATAATTGCTGTTCGGTATTTTTTTCATATCTACCAGGCTGACGATTATTTTTCACAATTCTTACTCGTAAAATAGTTTCTTCCATCTATTCTTCTATAAACACTTGATTATTACGCAACCTCACTTGATATCTAGAGTCTCAAACCACTTTATGATGTAATCTTTTCTGTCTTTCTACACACATATATTTGTTTATCTGCTAAGATATTTTGAAAATGTGATAATTTCATCGGATTCCAAAGCACAATTTGGTTCCAAGAAGAAATTAAGTGTAACAGTTGCCATTATCGTTCAAAAGTTGAAACAATACAAAATAATGTGACAGAAATCTGTTCGGTAATTAGAAGGAAATAAAAAGAAAACTACACCAATACATCACCATTTAAACACAATACAACTTAAATAAGGCAAGAAAAAATGTTGGTGATCGTACAAAATCTTGTCAATCTTAATTAAGACGATCGTTTGTATGAAACAACGAATTTTCTATTTTAAAATTCACGAGTCGATTAAAGCTAAACCATCATACAAACTCGGAGAGCGCTGAAATGCCCTTCCGTTCTAGTATGAGACTCCTCAGCAGTGCGAGTCCACGACCCTGCGCGCGGGACAATTCAGTCTCACGCGTGAATGCTTACACTCCAGAACACTGAGTCTACATTCAACAGTCTCAATTTCTAATTTCAACTAACCCGCGATATTGCATCACCATCCACCAGTGTCTTCAGTGAGTAATTGTGAATTGTTTAACCTTCATGTACCTGATCATGAGAAAATTATGACATGGAAATTCTTCTGCTAAAAAAAGGGAAAATAAAATGAACTTATAAAAGCTACTTGTTATTCCACAAAACTGATGCTCAAGTAGGAATTTTAGAAGTTACAGATTGCATGTGGATAACTCATAAAATTTAACATTAAAGAAACAATGGAAGTTTTGATGATCGGACTACGATTGCACAAAAATTCAACAAACAAGAAAAAAAACAAACCGACACAAAGAACCAAATACACATGAAATCATATGGAGTGTAATCTGAAACAGATATCTGCCAGACAGCTTTACTGAACAATTTTTTTTGAATTTTGTTTTCTCTGATATATCGATTTGTTTATTTATGTTTCGAAATGATAATTGCTCATTGTGAGCTTGTGTTAGTTAGAAAGTTATTCACTACAACACATAAACCTTGATAAAATGTGCTACAAAATTATGTACGCATCACTGGGATACTACCCGGTTGCATAAACCGAAATAGGTGGTTTACTTGGAGGGCAACTTCCCGAGCTTTTGATCTAATGATCTAATCCACTAGGCAGTGAAACAAAAAAAGGAGATATGGTATCTTGTTAGCTGGTGACCAACAACAAGGTGATACATTTTCGTCACTTCAGGATACTGAAGTCTATGTGGGCCATCGACTGGTGGCCAAATTGCAATTTGGTCGATAGTATTCAATCAGCACTAAGAAGTACCCGACATAAATGACGGTGATCACCAATCTGTGAACAGTCAATTGTACGTACGCCTCATGAGCTAGTAAATTTATAGAAACATTCAAGTTTTATGCATGATAAATTCTTCAACCATATTTAGCGCCGTGGAATTTAGCAATATAAAAAGTGTTGCACGTACTCTCCTTCCTTCACGGTTAAAAAGCAATTTTACATTATTTTGATATTTTTAACATCTATTTAATGAATGCGAAGATTACTTACTTACTTGCGCCTGTTATATCCAATCGAGCAGCGGCCACTAACCAGTACACTCCAATCCACTCTGTTCGGGAACTTCCTTTCAGGCTCTACCCAATTGTTGTTCTTTCTTTTCATAAGCCTCTCCATTTCTAAATGTTTTCCTTCTCCGCTGAAATTTGCATGATGATCTAGATGATAATGTTCAATTAATTGATCGGATGTATGCTGCTTAGACAACACTTCATAAACGCTTGTGCCTTCTGGATGATGGCTTTCGTAGTTCTGTATAATTATGGTCCACTATTATATTAGCACTGCTCTAATAATAGACCTAATCCTAAAATTCCACATTTGTTATCATGTAACTGCCTAATCTATAAGATCTCACGTGCAAATCACATCATCTTCTACACCAACTCACTGCATCTTAACAATTACCAACACATGAAGGAGAAGAATTTCAGGCTAGAGATGGAACAATATATTTCATATGAATAAAATAAATAAGGTGAGATTGAGCAAGGACCACGCCTGCGTGGCCGAGCCATGCCATCCGATCACTCCAATTTATTCAATTCATTATCCCTGCTTTCTCGATTGTTACTTATTTCTCCGCGTTAAATACTGAATATCTATTTTCCGATCAGTCTCGTGTTCAGCTTTGACGATTTTATGGTTATGATCCAATGCCACTACAGTCCTCCATTTTTCATCTCTATACAGTAGAACTGTTTTGACGTTTGTATTGAAAGCTATAGTACTGATGTTGGTTTTGAGTTCTAGATGTTCTTAAGTTGTAAATATGCTGCTCTTGCATTGCGGCTCCGCACCATCACATCTGCATTAAATCCACCGTTTTCATTAATGATGCTGTCCAGATATGTATATGATTTTACATCTTCCAAATCTTTCCTGTCAGTTGTGATTGGACTGGTGCACGCTGTGTTGTATCGGAGAATCTTGCTGTTCCCTTTGCTATCAAGGGATTTACTGACGCGATATATGAGGATATTCAGTGGAGTGATTTTTTGAAAATCTTAACTCACACAGTTTCTTGTATTATCATTAACAAAAGTGTGTCGACAGTGATCCATTCCTTTGTGACGGTACCTGTTGCGGCCCAGAATCTCAAGACGTGTGATCGAAGTGAGCCTTTGTCGTCCAACACACATTCAATGTGTTTCACTGATTCAAAGCACATTGAAGTTGTACCTTTTCATTTCTCCAGTAACTAGAATAACTCTACCGGTCTCTCACATTGTACGACAATGGCTCGCGATTCACCTCGAACCCATTCAATCACTTCTGCAGTATGAAAGAAATAACACGTCTACAGTATTCTCTCCATCATTCTCAGTTGAATAGACACGCTGATCACTTTGTCGAAAATGCTCACTAACAGAGAATTGATTTGTTATCTTTGAACTACTATACATTGATAAGTAGTAAACATGAGACAACACGAAAACTGGTTGACTCAGCTGATAGAACACAAATAAAGAGAAATAGTGAAATTGAAAATTCTCCCTCTTTCCCTTTCTTTATATATATCTATCATATCATACGCATCAGGTGTGCATGTGTGTGGAATGCACCGTAGAATTTCAACATATAGTGGTTGTTTGAAAGGAATAAAATGAGAATCGATTTCATGAAAGTAAGCAACGATTACACGGCTTACAAAGTTTTGAAGCTATTTCACTTTAAGAAGGTAGTTTCGCGGCCTATAACCTAATCTGGTGACTAAGAATCAAACCAAGTCATAAAATGTAAAACAAGAAAGACTCAACTGAAAACATAGTAAATATAACTAGTAATTCAAAACGATAATGCTTTCGTTTGGGTTTATAATGTTCAGACTATACAATTGATTTCAGTGAGAATCATTCAATTACCTGACGAAAAGTAATGTTGAGAAAAAATTTCCGAAAAACTAAATGACTATAAATTGTTAAAAAACACTTGTATTACCTCGTTGCTGATATTCTCGATTTTCCTAGAACATCAGTCTAAGCATTTTATTCAGTGTGTGAATGACTAAATATGCACATATTCACATATACTCTAGCTGTTAAGCTGGATTGTGATTGAAACTAAAACTCAAAAACAACGTTTTGTCTTTCCACCAAACTTCAAATTGAAATTTATCTATTCGAATTTCGTTAACAACCTCTAGACTCACACTGAGACACATAAGTTTCAAACTGTGGAGAATTCTTTACTAATATTATAAATTCAGATAGTCGTGCACTTA